CCCCCCGCATTCAGCGTAATCGCTTTGGAACCTATTTGTGGGCTACGCCAGAAACGTAGCAAAGATGGTTGGCTTTTGCTGCTGCTGTAAATAACTGAAAACCCTTTCCCGATCTCCATCCCCCACAAATCTGGGCAGAAGAGGGTAGAAAGTGGCAATGGGGCTTAGTTTTCCAGACGTTCTGTTCTTTTCGGAAATTACGTAGGAGGAAGAGCAGACAATTACAAGGCTGGCTATTCACGAAACGTGTTGTTACGCTGAAGGCGGCCGTTGACACCAAAACAAAATAGTACCCCCAAAAAAGTTGAGTACCAGAAATAACAGGGTAGAAAGGTAACAGAGGTTTAGAAAGACGCATATAACACTTGGGGTTCACAAAGGAGTGGTTCAACAGGAACTGCAGAAGGGATCCTAAAAGTAAGGGTTACGCTAGCGCGGAGGAACACTTCAGGTTTCAGGTTTGGGTAAGATCATGTGACCTGGGGGGGGGAGCATCATGTGGCGAGTGAGAAGTAGAGCCGGCTTGGGGGAGGAGCCGCTGAGGCGGGGCCTAGAGGGAGCAGAGAGGCCGCAGCCCCGCCCCGATCCGCAGGGCGTCCGGGTGCCAGCAGCCAGAGGGCAGGGCCTGCTTAGCATATTCATATCAGTCCCCTGCTCCTTCCTACCCCTCCCACCCCCAGCAAAAGCTTTCTTGCTTTAAGCATTTTTAGGGGTCCAGGTTTCTCCTGTATTATCATGCCGCTCTGGAGCGGTCCATCCATTCCCCACCACAGCATCTTGTCACTTGGGCTTGCTCCATTCTCATTTTAAAAGCCACTTTCCTCTTTACCCCAACAGCAGTCTTTCCCCTCTGCCTCAGGGACAGGGTGGGACATAAAGTTTCCTCCATTTCCCAAATACCCAGAGAAGGACCTAGGGCAGATTTGGTTTCAAAGTTATAATGCATGGTTTAAAAGAGAAGGAAAGGGGTGGGGAGAGAAAGTTGGTTACAGGTATTGGGGATTCTAGAGAAAGAAAAACTGAGGGAAGGACAAGTTTGAGGAAGATCCAGTGGCCCAAAATCCCAATCTCCCACCCATAGCCCTTGGAGCAGGAGTGAAGAATTAGATCAGTTTTGTACAAGAATTTTTAAAAAATCAAATCACAACAAAGCTGACTTGGCTTCTCTTTAAGCCTCCAGGATCACTGTATGTATGTCTCTCACTCTGGCCAGTCCTGCCTCTCCAACAGATACTGTTTCAGCTCTCCAAGGCTTCCACCTGTCCCAGTCTGGGATTTCCATGGAGTGTGAACAGGAAGTTAGAGTGAGGCTGCTTCTCAGTCTGGCCCATGTGTCCATCCAGACTCCAAGTGGAGTGTAGGGCTCCCAAGGCAGAGAGGGATGGGAGGGGTAGACCCTGCCCAGGCAGTCCTCACATTGGACAAAGCAACTGAAGGCATCCCAAGGGCTGGCCCTCCCTTTCCCCCCCACCCCAATGCAGGTGGAGGGGGAGCAGCTGTCACCAGAGCCTATGTTGGTGAAGGTTTCGGCTCAGCACGGAACGGACATCAGCGGTGAACCTGGGATGACAATAACTTGCATTGGTGGAGTACCTTTAGTTGACATCTTCACAACACTAGCATAAGGCAGCCTCACTGGAGAAGTGGGACTTTCACATGAGACAGGTTCAATTTGACCAAAACCTAATAGCTGAAAGTGATGATCTTTGGAGTAGGAAGACCTTTCAAACACTAAATCTTTTTTAAGGGAAGAGAGGTAAATAAGTAAAATAGGACAAACTTTTTTTATTCTCTTGGGATTCCTCACCTCCTTTCCTCAGAAATCCATGGTCTTGAGCCTACTTCCCTTACCTGAGGGCATCCAGCATTGGGAGCAGGTTAAGAAGGGCCGTGTCACTAGGGTCACTGAACCAGGATTTGATCGGGATAGCGTTGTCTAGAGTGGGTGAAATGCAGATGAGAAGAAACAAAGAATTCAAGAAAACCTGTTGTTTATTCTCGGAAAATTTTCTTAAAAAGCCATACTGTTCATGGCCCACCCTCACAGTCATCAACTTAAAACCTTATGCTCTTTTTTTGTTGTTGTTGCTGCTTTTTCTCAAGGCTAGCACTCTACCACTTGGGCCACAGTACCACTTCTGGCTTTTTTTCTTTTTATGTGGTTCTGAGGAATCGAACCCAGGGCCTTATGCATATGAGGCAAGCATTCTACCACTGAGCCACTCAGTCCAAAAACCTTAAAATTATTAATCACCAGATCTTAGACTAGTGTGAGACTTCTAGTCAAACTTACTATTAGTTGTCCTTACTTGAGGTAAATATGACTAGGAAGTTAACTGTGAAATGGATAAATGGGTTTCATTTACAATAACTAGTGTTGGGGCTGGGAAGGTGGCTCAGTGGTAGAGCGCTTGTCTAGCATACATGAGGCCCTGGGTTCAATTCCTCAGCAATAAGCAAAAAGAAAAAAGCCGGAAGTAGCGCTGTGGTTCAAGTGGTAGAGCGCTAGCCTTGAGCTGAAGAGCTGAGGGACAGTGCCCAGGCCCAGAGTTCAGGCCCACGACCGGACCCCCCCCAAAAAAAACAAAACAAAACAAAACAAAAAAAACAACTAGTGTTTACACCTATAGTATACCAAGGAATTGCAGCTTTCTAGGACCAAAACCAAGGTGTCCTGTTTACTAGTTCCCTATATTCAAAATACTTTCCAGAGGGGTAGGGATTTAATTCAATGGTAGATTGCATAGAATTCAGAGTCCCTGAGTTCAATTCCCAACACACACACACACACACACACACACACACAATCTCAGGAACCTGGGGTGTACTTCAGTGGTAAAGGTCCTGGATTCTATACCTAGTAGCACCATCAAAAAATAAATAAAAAATAAAAAAAAGTTCAAGCTAGCCTAACTATACAATACCCTGTTTAAAACAAAAACAAACAAAAAAATAAATAAAACAGAGATAGAGGATGACTCTAAATGGTAGAATGCCAACTGAGCAAGCAAACCCAAGGGCCAGAGTACAAACTCCAGTACTGCCAAAAAATGAAACAAAAACCTCCCCACCTTCCCACATACCTGGATGGCTCCTATAAGCCCCTGGGGAGTTATCTAGGATCACAATGCTGGAGAGGTCACTGTGGACTACAGAGAGGTCCTTGATGTAGCTGCCCAACTCCAAAGTGCAGTGCTGGAAAGCAGAGGATTTTGTAGCACTCCTGCCAATATCCCCATGAAGACAAATGCCTCACACTCAGATCCCTCCCACCCAGTCCACATCTCCAACCTTATTCTAGCCACTTACCTGTCTATAGTATCTCCTCTTAAGAATGCTTCTGCTGTTGTCCAATTTGTCTGCCACTGCAGAGCCGTAAATCTCCATGCTTGCTGTAAATACCACAAGCTCATACCACTGGCTTACCTGAAATTGATTGGCAGAGGGGTAAGGATTGGGAGAAGGAGAGATGTGTATAATATAAGGTGATTATTTGTTCAGACACAGTTCTCTTTCAATCAAGTCCTTCAGGCCTTAAAGCAACATCACATGTCTCTAAATACACAAAACTTTGAACCTCCTCCCCCAAACTTTCAAATTTAGTGTCTGAGACATCCTGCAGCTTTTAAGATTCAGATATGCTGATACAAAAGCACATTATGCCTGTGGAAAAATAGAATTGCATCAGTATAACAGATGAATCGTCAAATACTGTAAGCTATTTCCTTACCAAAACTTCTTTAACCCACTTCTCATCCTTTCCTCCAACCAGAGCCCTACAACCAGTTGACCACAAAGCTGTCTTTCTCTCAAATACACTCACCACTTCTAAGAAGAAATCCACGTGAGGTCTCTTATGAACAAAAAACCGGACAGGATGTTTGTCAATTACCACCTATAAAGGAATAGGGCATGGTTGGGGATGTCCCTTATACCACCTTACAGGCCTAGAGGACATGGTACTACCTCCCCACCTCCCCCGCCCCCCCCGCCCTCACTTCCACTGGTTGCTTCTTTGCTTTAAGGAGACCAGGCCCTGGGACTGGGTAAGAGAGTCTGAGTCTGGGCAGGGTAACAGACACGAGCATTTCCTCACTTTCCCCCTCTACACACCTTGAGGATAAAGTCAGGAGGTGTTCCAGGCCGCACTGTAGGCCTCAGGACCCCATCATGATGAGAGTGAATAAGTGTCTCATCCAGATCCAGCACCAGGATCTTCCTCTTCACCTGGGCTGAACCACAATGGGAAGGAACAACAACAACCGACCTCCAGCCCAGTGCTGGAGCCCTACCTCCAAGAGTCTTCCTAGCCAGTGTACTCACCTAGCCTATTCCGGGACACAGGAGATAAGGGGAGGATATCATATCGGACAGTTTGGTACTGAATTACCTAAGAATAACAAAAGAGAGAAAGAAATAGACCCTTTAACAAGGAAACCTTTTCTATTAACAGTAACAGGTAATATATACTGAACATTTGATAGGCACCGTATGTATGATTTAGATTATTTCACTTAATCCTTAAAACTGTATTAATAGGGTTGAGTGTGAAGCGCAATGCAGAGCCCTTGCTTAGCCTAGAGGAAGCCTGGGTTGAATCCCCAAGACAACGAAAACACAAGACAATCTTAATATTATTCCTTTTTTTTGTGTGTGTATGCACCAGTACTGGAGCTTAAACTCAGGGTTTCTCACTTTTGCTCAGTCTCTTTGTTTTTTGTCAGTTGTGGGCCCTGAACTCAGAACCTAGGCACTGCCCTTGAGCTTTTGTGCTCTAGGCTAGTGCTTTACCACTTTGAGTGACAGCACCCCTTGTAGTTTTCTGGTGGTTATTTGTAGTTAAGAGACTCATAGAGGGCTGGGAAAGTGGCTCAGTGGTAGAGTGCTTGCCTTGCATTCATGAAGCCTTGGGTTCAGTTCCTCAGCACCACATAAGCAAAAAGAAAAAACAGCCGGAAGTGGCGCTGTGGCTCAAGTGGTAGAGCGCTAGCCTTAAGCTGAAGAGCTGAGGGATAGCACCCAGGCCCAGAGTTCAGGCCCCAGAACCAGTCCAAAAAAAAAGAGTCTCTTAGATTCCCTGAGTGGACCTCAAACCAGGATCCTCAGATCTCAGCCTCCTGAGAAGCTAGGATTATGAGCATAAGCCAACAGTACCTGGCTATTGCAAATTTTTTTTGAGTAGGGTAAAACAGGCTTGGAGGAGTTAATAACTCATCTGATGCCATATAGATAGACCTATCTACTCAACAGAATGAACTCCAGGAAAGCATGAATTCTGTTTCAATCATGGCTATTTCCCAGTGCCTACAACATTATAGAAAAAGGGTGGTGAGTTAAAAACAAAAAAATCTTAGCCTGATGATGAACAAAGAAATACATGGGTCCAAAATACACCCCAAGGACTCTGACTGTGGTCATTCACATCCTCTCGCATTGGGAGCCAAGGGCTTCACACTCCTGGCAGACAAGAAGTAATAATCAGGAGAGGAAGTCCTTGGATCTCTAAGGGGAATAGAGGATAAGGGAGCCCAGAGGTTGTCAGGTCAGCTAAGTTCCTCTGGCTAGAGGCCACCAAACCTATTTTAACCAGCCACCTGTCCACTTATATCTTTACTAGCCAAGTCACAAGTTGCAGCAAACCTCAGCCCTCTGAACAACCTCCTTATCCTGTACCTGGGGCAAGACCGAAAACACTGGAAAGCCCCACCTGCCAGGCTGACTGTCAAGAGTATGGAGAAGGCCAGGGAAGAGCTGTGAGAGGTGAAGAAGGGACAAGGACATCACCACCTCAACCTTCTAGCTCTGCTCTCCAAGCATACTTTAAAGGCTATTTCCTAATACTCAGACCTCCATGCATGGTGATTTCCTTTCTCTGTTACTTTCTTGTAAAGTAAAAACATTCTTTGCTCATATCTAGGCCCCAAGCCACACTAGAACTAGTCTCCCCTTTTGCAAACCAAAGGCCCTCTTCCCTTTAATCCCAAGGCATCTGTCCTTCTTTGCTCTCTGGGCCTGTGATGAGGGCTGAAACAGCTCGGGTGTCTTGCCCTGCTATCTCGGGTTGCATATGCTGGGCATGTAGGGAATGCTCCAAGTATCTGTCAGAAAGAGGGGGCAGGGAACCAGAGTGAAGGGAAGAGAGGACAAAAGGCTGTGGGGTCAGTGCTGCTCAAAGGAGAGCAATTTTAAATGTAATGAATGCTGCAATGCATGGGCTAAACTACTCCCTATGTCTAGGAAATTAACGTGTTATAGAGAAGGCGAGATTCTCAGAACAGGGTCCAGCAGAATGTACCGACAACTTTTAACACATAAAAGAAAATCCCAGGAGTTAGCTGTCTCATCTTCTCTGACCACAATTTCTCTTCTTGTCTCCTTGCTGTCTTAAGAAACTAGCCATTTCTACAACCACTACCATAGAGTGCAGTCCTCATCCTAAATCAGGAAGTGGAAGGAATACACTGGTAGAGAAGTGAGTGAACCCAATGTCAGGCCATTCCTCCAAATCAATTAAGTCAACCCCCACTACCTCTAGGGATGTCTCACAATCTGCTTTGACTGAGGCTGTCCCTCCCTGATTTCATTCTTTCAAATTTTATTGAAGTGTGATACAAATACAGCCCGCTGTAGCCAGGCTCAGTCAATGTTCCTTAAAAATCTGACTTCAGGGGCTGGGAAGTTGGCTCAGTGGTAGAGCTTGCCTTGCATGCCTGAGGCCCTGGGTTCGATTCCTCAGCACCACATAAGCAAAAAGAAAAAACCCAGAAGTGGCGCTGTGGCTCAAGTGGTAGAGCGTTAGCCTTGAGCTGAAGAGCTGAGGGACAGTGCCCAGGCCCAGGCCCAGGCCCCACGAACGGACCAAAAAAAAAAAAAAATCTGACTTCAGAGACTTTGTCTCAGTGATGATGAGAACACAAGAGCACATTCATGAAGTGATATTAGTTGAAGGAGCTTTGACCTTGGAGAAAAGCTCAGGGAGAGGGAGCCCCCACAGATGATTGGGAACATCTATACAATCTCCACCAGCCCAAGTATCCCTTCATAATGCAACGGACTCCTGGAGAAGCAAGCTTGTCTTCAAGTGCAAGCAAGGTCTACAATTGACCACCCAGTCCTGCAACAGGGATGACCAACATTAATGTGTTCCCTTCCACAAGTAAAGACATCTATCATAAAAGCATGTTTTTCAGTCCCAAGACTTCAATATATTCATATACCTACACCCACACTATGAAATGTTTCCAGGGCCGTTTTGGAGGAGTTCCCTTTGACGGGAACCACAGAGATTTCTTCCTCACACCCAGGACTTTCCCAAGTTTCGTCCATCCTTGTTACATATGCCCTTCAATCCACTCCCACCTTGACACACAAGCCAGTCTCTCCTAGACCAAACATACCCGGAGGTCCTAATAGGAGGGTCTTTCTCCAGCCCAAATCAACAGTTCCGATTGCCAGCAAACAGGTGTTCTCGCCTCCCGGTTTCTTTAGCAACTCCAGCTTTCTTAAAAAAAAAAAACCCCCACCCACTACTCTAGCCCCCAAGCGTTCCCAGATCCTGCACCACCATCCAGGCCACAAAAACAAACAAACAAACAAAAAACCCACCAAATCTCGGTTCCATTGTAAGGTCTCCTCCTCCCCACTCCAAGGTCCCCAAGACTCCATTCCTAGGCCCCGAGGCTCAATACACATCGATAAGGCAAGAACCGCTGACAGTGAACCCTAACCACCCCAGCACCCACCCAAACTCACCGTGCGGATCTGCCTCCGTAAAAGGTAAATGAAGAAGCTCCAGAGCTTGGCGGCGAAGGCCACGAACGTGCGCAGCCCCAGCAGACACTGCGTCCGCATCATCCCGATGACCCCGGCACCGCCGGCCCCGGGGCCCCCGCGGCCCAGCTCCGCCAGCCCCCCGGGGGCAGCCCCCCGCCTCCGGGAGGGAGAACGGGGGCCCCGAGTGGCAGGAGAGGCTGCAGCGATTGGCACCAAGCGGGCGGCTCACAGAGCCACCCCCGGCGAGGGAAAAGCCCAGCGGAATCGGGAGCTGGGGGACAGGCGTGGGCAGCCCGCGGGGGCCCACATGGACGGGGGGTAGCAAAGGCGCCTTCACGGAGGTTTCTGGCAGAGACAGATCAGGCTAGGATGGGGTCCTCGGAGACCAGGAGGGAAGGGGTATAGAGAATTGGGGGGGAAGGGGTTGTGGGGGAGGGGGTCAGGGATGGAGGGGGAGGGGAGGAGGGGGAAGTGGAGGGTGGCCCGCTGCGCAGGCGCGCTAGGGAGCTGCCCTCGGGAAAGGGGCGGGTGGGGGCTAGCGGCGCGCGAAAGGCCTCGACGGCAGAGAACGAGCTGGCGGAGCACTGGAGCGAGGAAGGGGGAGGGGGAGCCGCAAGGCACGGAGCGCTGGGCCGAGGTGGCCTCCCCCTCCCCGAGGCCGGGGGTCTCCTAGCCGCTGAGGAGCAGGGCTGCAGCCTCTGCAGCTGGTTTTCCCACTCTGACAGGCGCCATTTTACTGCCCAGAGGGCTCCCTCCTCCTATATCCCCCCCCCCTCTTCCCTTCTGACAATACTTCCGGTGGTGACGTGTATTCGCTTTACCCGGATTACTGTTCCTTCTACTCGGTCTTACTGAGGGTAGGGTTAAGGAAAGTGGAGAGTCCCCAGGACAAGGCTGCAATACTGCGCACGCGCGGAAGGGCCGCTAGGCGGGGCGTGGACCGCAGTCTCCAATAACGTGACGGGGTGGGTGACGTCACGTGGTCAAAGTTCGGCCGGCGCAGGGGAGGAGTGGAGGTAGAATAGCGCGACGCCCTTCCTTTCCCACTGACAGCTATCCCCAAAGCCTCTTCAGGCCGCGATCACTGTGAACATGCAGACTGGATGTCTCTAGAGTAGGTGTGCCGAGGCTGGGGAGGGGCTCATTCACGTTAGCGCCCTGGGAACACTGAACACGAAATCACCTCTCACTCCAGACTTTAGGCACTCTTGAGTGCCACGCCCCGATGAGGCGGGGGCGGCGCCGGCGCCGTGACGTCATCTTGGAGCGTCGGAAGACGCGCGGGCTGCGCGGAGATGTTGGAATCATTGTTGGCTATTGGTGGCTTGGTGCTGCTTCGAGGTGGGATGCTGAGGCTGCGGGGAAGAGTCCGGCCTTGCTGGGGGGGGGGGTGTCGGGGGAGTATAGGGAAAGGGTCCTGGGTCACAGGTAGGAACTTGTGAAGCCGGAAATCTTATGAACGAATTAATCCGTCCCTCGCTCTCCCCAGATTCCGTGGAGTGGGAGGGGCGCAGTCTCCTGAAGGCTCTTGTCAAGAAATCTGCGCTAAGGTCAGTTGTCCCTCAGTGAGGGCCTGCCCATCCTGCCCTGGGAAGGGAGTCTATAACTGACTCTAAACTTTCCCCTCTGCCTTAGTGGGGAGCAAGTCCATGTCCTGGGCTGTGAAGTGAGCGAGGAAGAATTTCGAGAAGGTTTTGAATCCGATGTCAACAGCCGGTAAGTACATATGGAAAGGGATTTCATTAGGAGTGGGTTCTCTGGTGCTAAAGGACTTCCTCAGGGCTGGGAAGGTGGCTCAGTGGTAGAGCGCTTGCCTTTCATGCTTGAGGCCCTGGGTTCGATTCCTCAGTACCACACAAGCAAAAAGAAAAAAAGCCGAAGTGGCGCTGTGGCTCAAGTGGTAGAGTGCTAGCCTTGAGCTAAAGAGCTGAGGGACAGCGCCGAGGCCCAGAGTTCAGGCCCCCCCCAAAAAAAAAAATTAAAGGACTTCCTCAGCAGTTAAAAAACAACCACCCACAACCTGGTACGTAGTAGTGACGTTGGACAGCCAAATCTAGTGGTAGGGAAACAAGTGTGACCATGCTACATGTTTTAAACAAGCCGTTTGGTTCCCAACTATTATCCTAACCTTCAAGTCATTAGATGCTATCTCCAGCGAATTAGTAGAAGTTAAGAATGTATCTCCTTTGCTGTGTGACCTCCAAAATTATTGATTTGTATGTATGTGTGTGTGTGTGTGTGTGTACATGCATGAGTGTGCTAATACAGGTGTTCAAATTGAGAACCTTGAGCTCTTGCTTGGCTTTTTTTGCTGAAGGTTGGAACTCTACCACCTGAGCCAGCCACACTTCCACTCTGGCTTTTGTTGGTTACTTGGAGATAAGAGTCTCCCTCACGGATGTGTCTGCATGGGCTGTCTTCAAATTAGAAGCCTCAGATCTCAGCCACCTGAGTAGCTAAAAATACAGCCATGAGCCATCATTGCCCAGCAAAATCAGTGATATATTTTTAAGTCAGAAAACTGATTTTGCTGACAGGTTTGATTACTTGTAGTATTTTTTTTTGTTTTTGTGGGTCATGAGGCTTGAACTCTGGGCCTGGGCGCTGTCCCTCAGCTCTTCAGCTCAGTGCTAGCGCTCTACCACTTTAGCTACAGTGCCACTTCCAGTTTTCTGGTGGTTTATTGGAGATAGGAGTTTCAGGGACTTTCTTGCCCGGGCTGGCTTTGAACTGGGATCCTCAGATCACAGCCTCCTGAGTAGCTAGGATTATGCGTGAGCCATGGGCACTGGGCTCTAGACTTGTAGCATTTTATAGGATGAGGTTTTTCCTTGGTAACAGTTTCTAATTGTCTTTATCATTTGTATGGCCATCTTGAGCCCCCCTCTCCCCCACCTATAAGGTTTAACATGGTCTAGTTTAAAACATTCTAGCCTTGTGAACCATTCTGATATTTTATAACAAAATTGTCAGCAGCCTGCTATTTAACAGGTAACAATTTAAGAGCCTAAAATTTACTTACTTTTTTTTTTTTGGGGTCCCGTCATGGGGCCTGAGCGCTACCCCTCAGCTCTTCAGCTCAAGGCTAGCGCTCTACCACTTGAGCCACAGCGCCACTTCCGGCCTTTTTCTTTTTGCTTATGTGGTGCTGAGGAATCGAACCCAGGGCCTCATACATGCAAGGCAAGCACTCTACCACTGAGCCACCTTCCCAGCCCCAAACTTACTTACTTTTTATTCCCTGTGGTCATTCCTGTTTTAGGAGCAGCTTCTTAAGTATTTATTGAAAGAATGGATGTAAATCACAAAGATGAGAATTAGTAAGAGCAAAGATAAAGGAGAAATGGTGATGACTTGAACAATCCAAAGTAGAGACCCTGGAAGTTGAAAGAGTAATAGAAGTAAACTGGATGTGTGGCCCATGCCTGTAATCCTAGCTATTTGAGATATAATGGAGGAGAGGAGTTGACCATGGTTTGAGGTCATCCTTAACATGAAAGTTTTGAGACTCCATCTTGGATAATAGCTAGATGCAGTGGTACTCACCTGTCATCCCAAACACAAAGAGAAGCACAAATAAGACTCTCATTCCAGTACTTCCCAGGCATAAAGTGAGACTCTATCTCAAAAATAACCTACATTAAAAGGGGTTAGCAGAGGGACTTAAGTAGAGAGAGGCTTAAGCAGTAGAGCATCTACTTAGCAAGCACAAGGTACGGAGTTCAAAACTCAGCACTGCAAAATAAATGAATAAAGCCAGGTACCAGTGGCTCATAACCTGTAAACCTAGCTACTCAAGAAGCTGAGATCTGAGGATTGTAGTTCAAAGCCAGCCCTGGCAGGAAAGTCCATGAGACTCTTATCTCCAAAGAATCCAGAAGTGTAGCTGTGGCTCAGTAGTAGAGCACTAACCTTGAGCAAAAAATATCCAGGAGAGCCAGGCACTGGTGACTCATGCCTAATCCTAGCTACTCAGGAGACTTGAGATCTGAAGATGCAGTTCAGAGCCAGCCTGGGCAGGAAAGTCCATGAGACTCTTTTTTTTTTTTTTGGGGGGGGGGTCCAGTCATGGGGCCTGAACTCTGGGCCTGGGCGATGTCCCTCAGCTCTTCAGCTCAAGGCTAGCACTCTACCACTTGAGCCACAGCACCACTTCTGGCTTTTTTTTTTTTTTGCTTATGTAGTGCTGAGGAATCGAACCCAGGGCCTCAGGCATGCAAGGCAAGCGCTCTACCACTGAGCCACCTTCCCAGCCCCCCATGAGACTCTTATCTCCAATTAACCACCAAAAATCCAGAAGTGGTGCTGTGGCTCAAGTAGTAGAGTGCTAGCCTTGAGCTGAAGAGGTAAGGGACAGTGCCCAGGCCCAGAGTTCAAGCCCCAGGACAGATCAAAAACAAAAAACAAGAAAAACTAGTAACAGGGTACAGGCCCTGAGTTCAAGTCCCAGACCAGCACAAAACAAAGAATAAATGGAAGACTGTAGTAGATAGAGTTCAGCATTAGGAATCTCTACTAGAAAGTAAGAATAGGGGCTGGGAAGGTGGCTCAGTGGTAGAGTACTTGCCTTGCATGCATGAGGCCCTGGGTTCGATTCCTCAGCACCACATAAGCAAAAAGAAAAATGCCAGAAGTTAATGAGTACATTTCTTATCAAGCATTGTTGCCTCCTCCTTAAAAAAAAAAAAGAAAGTAAGAAAAAGCAAACTCTGCCTTTGACTTATTTAGAATCTAATGGTATTTAATTCAGTCATAGATTCCAGGCTTGAATCAAAATTTTAACTGAAGGCTTCTGAGGGATTGACTTAGAAACAGCAAGTATGAAAGTATGATAAATGGTATCTGTTCTTGGAAGGAGGGAGAGCTTCCTATTGTACCCCATAAATTCTTGACTTCAAAAGGTCTTACAGAGCATGAAAAGGCGTTGAAATGGTATCCGGAAGGCAATTGGGAAGAGAATGCTAATACTATACCTGATAAAAACAACAGTCCAAAGCCGTGCACTGATGGCTCATGCCTGTAATCCTAGCTATTCAGGACGCTGAGATCTGAGGATCTCGGTTCAAAGCCAGCCCGGGCAGGAAAGTCTGTGAGACTCTTATCTCCAGTAAACCACTAGAAAACCAAAGTGGCACTATGGCTCAGGTGGTAGAGTGCTCGCCTTGAGCTGAAGAGCGCAGGGGCACGCCCAAACCCAGAGTTCAAGTCCCATGACCGAAAAAAAAAATAAAACATTCTAGTAATCACCATGTGAAAGGTGGTTTGGAAGGAAGCATCCTAGAGACTGGGAGACGAGGTAGGAAGGCTATTATAGTAATCCAGGATCACTTATTAGTTGTGTGTATAGTGGGCACAGATTGTAAAGCAGGTGTTGTATTAGGCACGAGGCAGAACAGTGGATGAGCAGACTTATTTCCTGCCCTAATAAATCTTAGAAAACACTGCTAGAAGTGTCTCATTCAGTGGCAGTTTGGATGGAGAGTTTAGAACAAATGTCAGAGATTTTACTGGCTAGAATTTCCAGACAGGTGACCTTGGGCAAGTAATAAAGTCAAGCTTAGTGTTTAGGCTGTCAAACACAGCTGTCTAATCATTGGCTTCTCACTAATTAGTTCTCATTAATATTTGGAGTATTAGAGGAAATTGAGGAAACAGTCCCAAAGATCTAAGGAAGAAATTTGGAAGTTGGGGTTAAAGGTAATAAATAGGTTTCCTATTTTCTTTTACAGGCTCATTTACCATGACCTCTTTAGAGACCCGCTCAACTGGTCAAAAACTGGGGAGGCCCATCCTGGGGGACCTCTGGGAGCCTTGAGAGCCATGTGCAGGACAGATTCTTGTTCTATCACCATTGCTGTTGATTCCCTCAGCTGGTTGTTGCTTCATCTTCCCTGTACTGAACTCTGCCAGACGCTGCATGTTCTGAGCCATGGAAACTCCTACCCTGGTAAGACCTCTCCTCTCATATATCTCCTGCCAAACAATGTCCCCTGTTCCCTCCCACCCTAAGAAGAATAATCAGTTATCTCCAGTCATGCCTTCTGCTATCTCTTTAACTATTTTTGGGGGATTACTGGTTTTCATTGTGTTTTCAATTGTGTGTGTGTATGTGTGTGTGTCTGTGTGTCCCTGTGTCCTGGGACTTAAACTCATGGCCTGCGTGCTGTCTCTGAGTTTCTCTTGTTCATGGCTAGCATTCTGACACTTGAGCCACAACTCCACTTGCAGATATTTTTTTTAATATAGTTTGTTGGAAATTAAGATTCACAAACCACAATCCTCAGATCTCAGGCTCCTGAGATCTGGCATTATAGGCATGAGCAAGCTTTTTTTGTTGTTACAATTTTTTGTTGCTTTTATTTTTTTGCTTGGTTATTTATTTTTGTTAATTTGTCTTTATTGGGGTTTAGGACATAGGATGAGAAAGGTCACTTTCCCCCCTCACCCCCCCCCACTTGCTTTTATTTTTGAGACAGGATCTTGCTGTGTAACTCAGGCTGAATTAGAGGCACCCAGGGAGTGACTCCCTCCCCAATGCTCTGACTACAAACATCTTTTTTTTCTTTTTCTTTTTTTGGCCAGTCCTGGGGCTTGAACTCAAGGCCTAGGGACTATCCCTGCTCCTTGCTCAAGGCCAGAACTCCTACCACTTGAGCCACAGCACCACTTCCAGCTTTTTCTATTTAGGTGGTACTGAGGAATCAAACCCAGAGCTTCATGCATGCTAGGCAAGCACTCTACCACTAAGCCACATTCCCAGCCAAGAGGATTCTTTTGATGTTTTGCTTTCGGTTTTCTTTTTTGAGATAAGGTCTCAGGATATAATCCTGGTGGCCTTGAACTCATTGTTTTACTGGCTCCACCTCCCAAGTGTTGGGATCACTAGTGTGTGCTGCCACACACATCCATAAAGTTTGTTGTTTTTATGTCGGCCATGGGGCCTGAACTCTGGGCCTGGGCACTGTCCCTCAGCTTGTCAGCTCAGGGCTAGCACCCTACCACTTGAGGTACCGAGGAATTGAACCCAGGGCCTCATACATGCGAGGCAAGCACTCTACCACTGAGCCACCTTCCCAGCCCCTGTTGTTTTGTTGTTTTCTTTTTCCCAAAGTTTTTGGTTTTGGGTTTTTTGTTGTTGTTGGTCATGGGGCTTGAACTCTGGGCCTGGCCGCTGTCCCTGAGCTCTTCATCTCAAGGTGAACACTCTTACCATGTGAGCCACAGCACCACTTCTGGTTTTCTGGTGGTTAATTGGAGATAAGAATCTCATGAGCTTTCCTGCTGGGGCTGGCTTTTTAACTCTTTACAGTGATGCAATAAATATTAAGTACATACAATGTATCAGGTCCATTCAAATAATGAAAATGTAAAGATTAACATGTAGTCTTCCTGGAGCTCAGAGTCTCAAAAAGGATATGGAGAAATAAACAGGCAGTTACAAGATAATCTGATAGGGCTGAGGTGTCTTAGGGACTGTGATGATAAAAGGATGTCCACCAGGCACCTGAAGAAAGGAATTACCTTGAATATCCTGAAGAGCAAGAGATCAGCCGGGCAGATTTGGCACTAGCCCTGAAGCGCACTGTGATACTAGCATACACCTGGGGTCAGACACAGCCAGCCATATGTTGAAGTACTTGATTTCTCAGTGCTTTTACTTTTCCCTGTACAGGGTATAAAGCGGGGCATATAAAGAGTTGGCATGAGCCAGGTGTCGGTGTCTCATGCCTGGAATCCTAGCTAGTCAGGAGGCTGAGATCTAAAGATCACAGTTCAAAGCCAGCCCAGGCAGGAAAGTCCATGAGACTCTTATCGCCAGTAAACCACTCACAAAACCAGAAGTGGTACTATGGCTCAAAATGGTAGTGCACTAGCCTTGAGCTGAAGAGCTGAGGGACAGTGCCAGACCCAGAGTTCAAGCCCCACGGCTGACAAAAAAGTTGGCATGAGTGTAATCCTCACTTTTAGGAAGCAGAGGCAACAGTGGGGCCTGTGATAGGTAGCATTAGAATTAAACTCTTTGAAATTGCCACATGATATGAGCTGACTTTGTGAGGATTAAAGTGATAGTGTTTAGTACTGTTAATGCTTCCAAAAGGAGAAGATACGTTCCAAAAATTGCAAATAGTTCATTAAGAGATGAACTGGATTGGGGCAATGGAAGCACACACCTGTAATCAATCCTAGCTACTCAGAAGGCTAAGATCTGAGATCACAGTTTGAAGTCAGCCTGGGCAGGAAAGTCCATGGAGTTAACCACCAGAAGCCAACTGGAGCTGTGGCTCAAGTAATAGATTGCTAGCCTTGAGTAGAAAAGGCAAAGGAACAATGCCTAGGCCCTGAGTTCTAGCCCCAGTACCAACACACACACACACACACCCCACACACAAATGGCTGGAGTTAATGGATGCCAGTGATTAAATTCCATGCTGAAAAGTCGAAGTCAGAGTTGTGCCTTGGTCAGATTGCACTAGAGTAAGGTTTCTTAAAAGTGTGGAATTGGAAGCAGTGTTGTGATTGAAAGTGGTAGAACACTAGCTTTGAGCAAAACAGCTCAGGGACAGTACCCAGGCTCTGAGTTCAGGCCCCATGACTGACCAAAAAGAAGACAAACATTAGCAAGCACTGGTGACTCATGCCTGAAATCCCAGTTATTCAGAAGGCTGAGATTGAGGATTGCAGTTGGATGCCAACCAGGGCAGGAAAGTCTGTGAGTCTCTTAGCTCTAACTAGTCACAGAAAAAGCTGGAAGTGGTGCTGTGGCTCAAGTGGTAGAGTACTAGTTCAAGGATAGCACCCAAGCCCAGAGTTCATGCCCCAGGGTCAGTCCGAGGGAAAAAATAAACTCAGGGGCTAGGAAGTTGGCTCAGTGGTAGAGCACTTGCCTTGCATGCCTGAGGCCCTGGGTTCGATTCCTCAGCACCACATAAGCAAAAAGAAAAAGCCAGAAGTGGTGCTGTGGCTCAAGTGGTAGAGTGCGCCTTGAGCTGAAGAGCTGAGGGACAGCGCCCAGGCCCAGAGTTCAGGCCCCACAACTGGACCCAATAAATAAATAAATAAACAAACTCAGGGCAGGGCATTAAGATTGGTCAAGGTAAATTGAGGTTGTGGCCAAGTTGATAGAATGTGCACCTCTCCTTCCTTTTTCTTCCCTATTTCTATGCCTATCCTGAATGCTCCCCACTATCCTTCATGCCCTAATTTTTTTTTTGCCCCCTTCCAGGTGTTAACCCCCCTGTAGGGCAGGTGCGTGTGTTGGGCCTGCTGCATGAAGAGCTTCATGGGCAAGGCCCCTTGGGAGCACTGAGCAGCCTTGCTCAAACAGAGGTGACCATGGATGGTAAAATGGGCCAGGCTTCAGTTCACATCCTCTATCGAAGGCCCCAACAGCGCCCAGCTTATCAGGTCAACAGAAGCAACAGGGAAGACTAGAGATTTGGGTCAGAAAGAGGTGTCATAATGGAAAGTGCCATGAGAAAGCTGATGGCTTAGTGTGCATGGGATAGAACCTAGGGCCTTGGGCCATGTATGTGTGCTGAGTATATACTGTACACCTGAGCCAGGTCCTCTTATGTTTTCTATCATTTACCTCCTTTTATTTTCACTGTGAGTACATTATATCCCCATTTTGCAGACTGTGAAACAAGTCCATAGAAGTTTAAGCCATTTGGCCAAGATAGTAAAACTATAAGTGGCAAGTGGTATAGCCAGCATTTGAACTCAGGATTGTTTTTGATTCAGCCTGCCAACTTAACTATGGAAAGATGCTATCTTCCAGAAAATGGAAAGTTTAAAATCCTAAGATTATTGGAGAAAGGAGCTATGAGGTCCTGAAACGTTAAAACTAAATAAAACTTTTTTTCTTATACACAGACTCAGTGGTTCTCCATCCTTCCTGACTTCAACCTGGATCTCCAAGAGGGACCTCTAGAGTCCCAGCAGCAGCCAAGTTCCCACGTACCTCTGGTATATATGTTTGCCTTGGCATCAGTGGCTCACATCTAGCTACCCAGGAGGATTGGTGGTTCAAAGCCAGCCCAAGCAGGAAAGTCATATCACCAATTACCTACCCACCCATAATCTCCAATTATCCAGAAGTGGAGCTGTGCTCAAGTGATAGAGCACTAGCCTTGAGCAGAAAAGGGACAGCACCTAGGTTTGAGCCCCAGTTCTAACAACAACAAAAAAAAGTTTGGGGGCTAGAAAAAGGAAATGAAGCTGGGCGCTAATGGCTCACACCTATAATCTTAGCTACCAAGGAGGCTGAGAACTGAGGATCATGGTGCAAAGCCAGCTCGGGCAGGAAAGTGTGAGACTCTTCAAGTAACCACCAGAAAAGTGGCACTGGTTCAAATGGTAGAGCACTAGCCTTGAGCTGAAGAGCTGAGTGTGGACAGCGCCCAGGCCCAGAGTTCAGGCCCCACAACAAAGGGGAAAAAAAAAAGAGAGGGAAATACAAACTGCAGAGGTTTGGGGGTGAGGCCAGGGACCCCAGTGATGTGGCTCAGTGGCAGCATATGTTTGTACCTACAGGTGGATCCCACAACTCACTTGACTTTTAACCTTCACCTGTCCAAGAAAGAAAGAGAAGCCAAAGATAACCTGACTCTGCCCTTCCAATTCAGCTCTGAAAAGTAAGATTGGAACATAAATGCCTGGATTCCTGGGTAGAGCTGAGCAACTGGATCACAGAGTGATAGGGTGTTGACAGATTATTGATTAACCTTTCATGACTTTATAGGGGCTGAAGTCCACCTTGCAGAGACAAGTAGGGAGTGGTAGTGGCTCTCTATTCACATATACCCTCCCACAATGGCGGAAGGTTTTGTCTTATCTCTCCATTAGAGCTTTAGACTCACCACTGTGGTTCTCCCCCATAACAATCTGGGCCTTGGCTAAGCCAAACTATACTGCGGAAATATGGCTCTTTCTCTACAGCAGTGCTAGGACAGGAAGCTACATGGGTGTGGCAAGGCTGGTTAAGTGGCAGAGTATATGCCTTTCCCTGCCTGTGGATGGGTGAGACAAGGATGCCAAATCCTGGCCCTCAGGGTGCTAAGAATGTAAGTTTTGTTAGTTGTATAAAAGCACTATCCCAAATCCAAATGGTCTGGGGAAACTTTAGTTCTAACCAAACATGAAGGTCAAAGAAAGGGAGTTGGACCAAGAAAATGGTACAGGGGCCTGTCTGAGTCATGATTGTCTGAGTCATATGGAAAAGTAAATTCACACTTGACTCCTGTCACTCATCCTCCTCAGCATCAACTCTTTCCTCCTCAGACAGCAGGCTTTGCTGCGACCTGGACCAGGTCAGTCTTCCAGCCACATCTTCTATGAGCCAGATGTTTATGATGATCTGGACCAAGAAGACCCCGATGAAGACCTAGATATTTGACTGACCAGATTTGACTAGACCAACAAGAAGAAACACTGTGGACTTAGAAGCACCTTTGTGTTGTTTGACTTGACCTTACCTTGTCCCTGTACCACCTTTGCTGCTTTGTATATGTAAGGCCCTGCTGTGCCAAGAAGTAGCATGTCATCAGGGCAGCAAATGGGTGAGAGTATATTGTAAGGCAAGCAAGTAACCTTCCAAATTAAAATATATAGATACAGATACACACACATATATGTATGTATATATGTATATACCTCTTTTTTTTTTTTTGGTCGGTCATGGGGCCTGAACTCTGGGCTTGGGTGCTGTCCCTGAGCTCTTCAGCTCAAGGCCAGCAGTCTACCGCTTGAGCCACAGCGCTACTTCCGGTTTTCCAGTGGTGTATTGGAGATAAGAGTCTCATGGACTTTCCTGCCCAGGCTGGCTTTGAACTGAGATCCTCAGATCTCAGCCTCCTGAGTAGCTAGCATTATAGGCGTGAGCCACCGGCGTCTGGCTACCTCTTTTTTTGTTTTTTTAATGCAACTCTTTGGTAGTTATTTAAAACAGTGGTGGGTTGGGAATGAAGGAAGCCAGACGTTTGAGGTATTAAGCCTAAACAATGAAAATGGACTGTATGGCCTGGCACCATCGTGCTCTGTAGCTTCACTGAACTGAAGTAGGCACAACTTATGTGGAAAGAAAGCAAGAGGCATAGAAAGAAAAAAAAAAACCTGCTTTCTAAAATGTAGTTTTTATTACTGTACAAAAAGCACATGCTCCCCTTTTTGTCTCTTCCCCCCCCCCCTTCCCAGAGAACTGTACACGGTATGCATGGATGGAGTGGCCAGGGAGCCTTTGTCTCACACCTTGCTCACAGGCTGAGTCCTCTGCCCTAGGTTTCTGAATCATCTGGACACACCCACAGCCCATCAGACTGGGGCATAAGGGTGTCGAGTTACACATATTCTTTGGCAGAGTTGGACTTGGGGTAGGAATGGGGTGCCCGATACACAGCTTTGCTTTCACTCCCAGGACAGGAGCAAGACAGCAGCGCACCTCCTAGGAGGACCAGAGCAGACCCTGCCCAACCAATAAAGATGGCAGAACCAAACTCATATCTGTGGAGAGAAGGGGTTAGAATCAGAATCCTGGACTGTCTGCCTTGTTTCCTATCCCAGTATCCCAGAGGCAAGGGTCCCAAACTTACTTAGCATTCATGGGGGTCAAGGGGTTATAGAAGTCTGTGATAATCTGATGACCATACCAGGAGCATGCTATCAAAGAGGCAAGACCTAGAAAGAGAAGGATTCTGATACTCCCAGGGTCTTAAACCAGCACCTTACCCACCCTCAGGCCGACCTTAGATCTGAGGCTCACCAGCCACGATGAAAATGATGCCTCCAGTCATGGCTATCCGGGCCTTCTTCACTTTGTCGTCTCCCCCACAACGCGTGCACTTCATGCCCATCGTGGCCACAAACATGGCCAGGAAACCCAGCACCAGGGACACCACCATGAGGGCCCGAGTGGCCTGTAGGGCCGCTATGGAGAAGAAAGAGCCCGGTCATCGCTGGAAATGCGGGCAGGCCCGGGAAGGCCTTAGCCTTCAAGCCCCAGGCTGCACCCGCCAAGTTCAGAGACTATCAGTGAAGCTCTCCGTTCCCCAGCAGATCTGGAACGCTCCCCGCCCCCTGCCCCAGGCCAAAGCCCGAGGCGCCTCCACCGGCCCCCGCCCCGCCTTAGGCCGAGGCCTTCCCGCTCAACGCACGGCCCGGCCCCGCCCTCTGCCCCAGAACCCGCCCGGGGCGCCTGGGTTTCGATGAAACCGCGCTGGGCAGGGGGAAGGGGGCCGTGAGAAAGGACGCGCAGCACGAAGGCTCAGCCGCCGGCCGTCGCGAGTCCCAACTCTCACCCCGCTATCGAAGCCACGGGGTTTGTGGCTTCGGCTAATCGGCCGATAAGATTAGAGGTCGCAGGTGGCGGCCCACGTCTAACAAAACAGCACGGTCCGGCGGCTCAGGCCACGGCTTCCGCGCCGAGCCCTTTTGTCCAAGACAAAACTGACCACAGACGGTCCGGGTCGCAGAGGGGCGCGCGCGCGCTGGCCTGGACTCTTCCAGCCGAGGGAGCGGGCCCGGCGGGCGGCCCAGGTGCGGACTCACAGCAGGGCCGCCAGAATCTAGGCCAGATCTAGCCAAGGCCCCCGGTGTGTCCACTTCTCCAGCTCCCTGGAAACCACAGGGCGCCCGGCCGAGGAGCTCCGGCCCTGCCCCACCCGGGCGCGTCCGTCCCGTCGGCCCCTCGGCCTTACCCGGCAGTGCGAGCACCGAGTCGAACATCTTGCAGCTCATCAAGCCTGTGCTCTGCGTGACGCAGTCCATCCACAACCCCTTGTACATGGCCTGGGCGGTGATGATGTTGTCGCCCGCGTACGAGCTCATCTGCCACTGCGGGATGGCGGTGCATGCCACCAGGCCCACCCAGCCCAGCAAGGCCATTGAAAAGCCCAACAATTGCAGGCCCGAATTGGCCATTTCCGCCCTCCAAAAAGATGGGAACCTGGGAGGGCGAACCTACAAGTCGAATAGAATTGAAAAGGACAGCTTCACCAAAGACAACCCGGTTGGAATTTTAAGTCACCCTGAGACGGAAAAAAAAAAAAAAAAGTTTGTAGCCAGTGACTGCAAAATCTTGTCACCCCAAGTAAAACAATTCCACCCCTGGCAGCCGTGGGAACTGGCTGCACTCGAAGGACAGGTTCCAGACAAAAGCAGTGCCCGGAGGCCAGGCGCTCTCACGACCCTACCCCGAAAAAATGGAGGGGCCGTGTGGGCGCGATCCCCGGGGTGTATCTGGGCCTTTCGGCCCCAGGCTGTAGGGAGCGGGCAGAGGCGTCGCGGAGAGTCCGGAGGTAAGGGCGGACAGGTGCGGCGCACCTGAGTATAAGTAGGGCGCAGGGAGCGCGCGAGGGGGAGGCGGGACCGGAGGGGCAGCCGAGGGTGACCTGACGTCACTGAAGGGACACTTACCTGAACCGGAAGTCCTGGCCCCTACCCCCCTGCGAGCGCAGGTGATGAGGAAGAAACCTGAGCCCCAGGGTCACGCCCCTTCACTTGCTCGGCTTCCACGGCAGGTGAAGCAGAGGCTGTGGCTTCTCGGAAATCCATCCAAGCTGGACAGCCCTCTGGCACCCTTTGCAGTCGGTGTGCCCGAGACGCCGCGGAGCCCGAGCTGGGGGATGTTCCTGGAAAGACTGGGTGCCACCCTTTCCCCTCCTGTTTCTGCCTCAAGCAGTCTTTCTTCCTTTTCTTCTGTTTCCAAAGCTGTCCTTTCCCACCTTCGGAGACCCCTGCCGCATACGAGAGAATCAACCCTCGCTGCACTTTTCTTGAAGTTTCTGCTCCCAGAGACAACTCTCAGCACCCCTCCCTTTTTCTACTGTTGCCCTCCTGGTAGGCCCTCCAACAAACAGACAGCTGCCTTCTGAGCATGGCTCCCAACAACTCTAGCTTCCTGGTCCCCCATTCCTAACCCTAGCAGAGATTTAATGTATGAGCTGGTCGCCATCCTCTGCAGCAGCAAGGCTTCTCCTAGCATATGGAAGAAACCACTAAGGACAGCATATGGGGGTAGGGTAAGGTAGAGGTCAGAATCCCTGACACACCTAACATTCACCTTCCTAGGAGTTTTCTCCACTTTCGCCTCCCACCTCCACTCACTTCCCTACCATCCTTGAACACACATCTTTACCACCTTCCCACCTATTCTTCTTAGTCTCTCCTATGCCCCAGACCTCCTCGCAACATTTTTTTCCAACTTTCTCATTCCCCTTTTTGATCATTTCCCCCTTCCTGCCTTTTCTACTTTGTAGCATCCTATTTCACTCCCCCATTTACTCTGCCCTGGTACCCTTTTTCCAGCTGCATGGAGCTTGGCAACAATTTCTCTCCTTTTTTTTTTTTTTTTTTGTCCGTCATGGAGCTTGAATTCTGGGTCTGAGCACTGTCCCTCAGCTCTTCAGCTAAAGGCAAGTCCTCTACCACTTGAGCCACAGCGCCACTTCCGGTGTTCTGGTGGTTTATTGGAGATAAGAGTCTCACAGACCTTCCTACCTGGGCTGGCTTTGAACCACCGTCATCCTCAGATCTCAGCCTCCTGAGAAGCTAGGATTATAGATGTGAGCCATCGGGGCTATTATCGTCATCATCATCATCATCATCATTATTATTATTATTATTATTATTGTATTCTGGTAAGGGACTTGAAATCAGGGCCTTGGGATCGCTTACCTTTTTCCTCTCTAGTCTGGAACTCTACCAAGTGACCTACAGCTCCACTACTTGCTTGGTAGGAGGGCGGGGGTGTTGAAGACATACAGACTAGGAAAGTCAAGGCTGGCTTTGAACTGCTGTCTCAGATCTCAGCTTCTTGAGTAGGTAGATTTACAGGTGTGAGCCACCAGGGTCTGGTTTTCATCTATTTTTTACCTCAGTTGCTTCACATATCCCATTTGTGTTCTTCCTTTTCAACTTTTTTGTTTTTGATAACTCTTTTTTTTTTTTTTGTAGGTCTTGGGGCATGAACTCTGGGCTTGGGTGCTGTCCCTCAGCTCTTCAGCTCAAGGCTAGCGTTTTACCACTTGAGCTGCAGCTCCACTTCTGGTTTCCTGGTGGTTTTATTGGAGATAAGAGTCTCATGGATTTTGCTTCCCTGCTTGGCTTTGAACTGTGATCTTCAGATCTCAGCTCCTTAGTAGCTAAGATTACAGGTGTGAGCCACTGGCGCCTAGCTTGTTTTGGTAACTCTTTTTTTTTTTTTCTTTTTTTGGTCGGTTGTGGGGCTTGACCTCTGGGCTTAGGCGCTGTCCCTGCATTCTTCAGCTCAAGGTGAGTGCTGTACCACTTGAGCCACAGTGCCACTTCTAGTGGTTTATTGGAGCTAAGAGTCTCATGGACTTTCCTGCCTGGGCTGGCTTTGAACTGTGATCCTCAGATCTCAGCCTCCTGAGGAGCTAGGATTTCAGGCATGAGCCACCGCTGCCTTATTTTGGTAACTTAATCAAATATACTGCTGGGCCCTTGTGTCCAACTGGTTTAAGCTGTTTTACATAAAACATATCTTTGTGAACTTTGTTATTCATATATATTGTTGTACTTTAGATTAATGGAAGACTTTTGTTTTGTTTTGCCAGTACCAGCAGGATCTCCATTCTTAGCTTGTTTATTCATAGCTGATTCTCTACCACTGGAGCCACTTCATCTTTACTTGGAGATGGAGTCTCAGACTTTTCTGCCCAGACTGGCTTAAACCCACAATCCACTGGATCTCAGTCTCCTGAGTAGCTAAGCTTACAGGTGTAAACCTCTAGTAAAGAGATTAAAGGCACCTTCCAGGTTGAGTGTGGTGGACCACACCTGTAATCCCAGGCTGAGTCTGGAGGATCAAGAATTTGAGTTCATGGGCTGGGAAGATGGCTCAGTGGTAGAGTGCTTGTCTTGCATGCATGAAGTCCTAGGTTCAATTCCTCAGCACCACGTAAGCAGAAAAAGCTGACGTGGCACTGTGCCTCAAGTGGTAGAGCGCTAGCCTTGAGCTGAAGAGCTGAGGGACAGCACCCAGGCCCAGAGTTCAAGCCCCACAATCAACCAGGAAAAAAAAAGCTGGAAATGGAAGTATGACTCAAGTAATAAGGTGCAAGCCTGGAGAAAAAAAAAAAAAGATCTAAGGGGATTCAAGCTTTAGGGTGATAGGAAAGTATAAACAAATAGGCAACTCAGGTGAGGATGTAGCAGGAGAGGAGGTGGGTGGGGAAAGTGCATAAATAAATAAAGTTTGAGTTCAGCCTGGACCATAGCAAGACCTGGGGCAAGGGAAGATACTTTGCAGCTCTGAGTCCACATTTCTCATTATTTAAGTCTATCCAGCCTAGAGTGGTAGTAAACACCTTTGATCCTAGATATTCTGCAGACAGAGGCAGGAAGACTGAGAGTTCAAGGCCAAGCCAGACAAAGTTATGTTTATATCCCAACTCAAAAACAAAATATAAACCAAAGTGCTGGGGATATAACTCTATACCTGATGCCTAACAGGCTCAAGGCCCTGGGTTTACCTCTCTACAAACTCTCTGAAACTGTCACCAAGCCTGGGAAGTTGGCTTAGTGATAGAGTGCTTGCCTCACATGCACGGAGCCCCAGGTTCGATTCCTCAGTACCACATACACAGAAAAAGCCAGAAGTGGCACTGTGGCTCCAGTGATAGAGTGCTAGCCTTGAGCAAAAGAAGCTCAGGGACGGTGCCCAGGCCCTGAGTTCAAGCCCCAGAACTGGCAAAAAAGAAAAGAAACTGCCCCCAAAACTAATCTACCTGCTTCTACCCTTGTCCTAAAATCTGTTTCTAAACACTGATCTTTTTATATAAATGGAGACCTTGTCATTTCTTTTGAAAATCATTAAGTGACACTTCTGGGTTTTGTTTTGGTTTTTTCAGTACTAGGGATGGAACTAGAGCCTCACATGAGTATTCTACTGCTAAGCTACGGCCTCAGCCCTCAGTGGCTCTTGTGCTCCTGAGATAAACACATGAGTCCTTGTCTCCATCACATTGTCCTTCTCTATTTTGGAAACGTGCTGCATACATTCTGTCCCTGCAAAGCACTTTCCACTCTGTTCTCTATGCCTGAATACTCTGCCATCCTCCCCACCTCTCCCCAGATAACTGAGTCACCCTTCAGCTCTCTGCTTAAGTATCACTTCTAGAAAGCTTGGCCTAACTACCCCACCCCAGACTGAGTCAGATCATCCATGAATGCTCTCAGGCTATCTGGATTTTTCTTTCAAAGTCCTTCTGTTAGTCTGAAACTATTTACTTTGTGTGCACATTGAGTCAATGTCAGTTTTCCCATTGTACTATAAGTTCCAAAAGGGTTGAGATATGTCTGGGTTTTATTACCAATGGCGATTTGGTGAAAAAGAGAGAAGGGCAGGGGGAGAGAAAGAAAGGAAGAAGGAAAGGAAGGAAGAAAGAATTGCAAATAACTAATACTTTTGCCTACTGTTCAACAAACATTTTCTGAGTTGCCATAATGTACCAACACTAGATTTACCCCTAGGCATAAGGAATGAGAAAAACAGATAAGGATTCTATGCTCCTGTAACTGATTTTCTAAAAGGAGGAAGCAGGCAATACAGACAATAAAATGGTGCATGCTTCAAAGGCAATGCAATAGGGTATTGAATGAGATTGGATCTAACCCCAACTGAGGTCAGGAAGAGTTTCTATTCAGGGAAATGACTTAAATAATGAGTCAGACATGAGTGAACCAGTTACAGACAGAAAGAACTGTAAGAGCAAAGGCCCTGTGTCAATTGCCTGGTAAGATTTATAGTCATAGTCGGGCACTGGACGTTTACACCCATAATTCTAGGTACTCAGGAGGCTGACACCTGAGGATTGCAGTTTGAAGCCAGCCCAAACAGGAAAGTCTATCCATGAATTTTTTTTTTTTTTGCCAATCCTGGGGCTTGAACTCAGGATCTGGGCACTGTCCCTAAGCTTCTTTACTCAAGGCTAGCACTCTACTACTTCAGCCACAGCACCTCTTCCAGCTTTTTCTGTTTATGTGGTACTGAGGAATCTAACTCAGGGCTTCATGCATGCTAGGCAAGCACTCTACCACTAAGCCACATTCCCAGCCCAAGAGTCTTAGTTCCAATTAACCACCAAAAAACTAAAAATGGATCTGTGGCACTAGCCTTGAGTGAAAAAAAAAAAAGCTAAAGGATAGTGCCTAAGTTCTGAGTTCAAATCCCAGGACCAGCACATCCTCATACTAACTGGAATCGGGGAGGGGGGCAGGGAGGAGTAAATACAAAATTGGTCCTAGTTAAGAACCATTAGTTTAGTGTCACACTACTATGGATTTTTA